TTGTGAGGAGGGAGCTGAGCCTGAAGGCGAAGCTGTCAATTTACTGGTTGATCTACATTCCCTGTCTCATATGTGACCCCGAGCTGTGGGTAGTTACCAGAAAATAAGATTGTGCATTCAAGTGGCAAAAATCGGGCTCTCCCTTCAGACAGAGCTCAGAGTACAGCCTTTGCATCAAAAGGTGCCGGCTGAAGCGGTTCGGTCGGCTCTGACCCAGATAAGCTCCAGAAGTGTTCGGTGAATGGATGGGCGTCTTTTCTGTCCTCCCTTCATGCTGTTTGACTCCCGCTGTCCGTCTTTGTGCTGCGTTCCTGTTGTTACTGAAGCGAATCGGCTGTTTTTGGAACATCATTGATCTAAACCTGGTGTTTGTGTTTTCCTGTGTCAGACTCCTACACAGTGCGGTTCTATGATGGCGTGGTTCGGACTGTGAAGCCCACCAAAGTCAAACCTTTCCAGGAAGTAAGAAATGCTTCTCGCTAATTGGTCCTCGTCTCCTCAGTGTTTCAACGTCTTTGATCCTAAATGTGTTTGTTTTTGTTTGTTGTTCTTAGAAATCCAGATCTGAGAAAAGTGCTGTGGGGAGCGAGGGATGGGAGGAGGGTGAGAGTGAGGAGGAGGAAGGAGGAGAAGGACAGGAAGAAGAGGAGGAGGAGGAGGAGGAGGAGAAAAAGGAGGAAGAGGAGGCAGATGAGAAGGTGACAACAGAAGAGACTGATGCAGATTTGGAGAGGGAGGAGGACAGGAAGAGGAAGGCAGAGCCTTCATCCTCAAATCCACCTGCCAAGAAGAAAACAGATGACAGTAAGTAAGATGACCTCTGACCCCAAGCGCCCGCTGATTGTTAGCACACAGTAGATCTGTCCAGATGTTTGGAGGCTCCGCAGCTCGTCAAATGGTTAACAATGGTCTGTCTCTCCTCCAGGCAGAAGCAGTGGAACTCAGAATCAGCCAATCACAGCTGACTCCACCCCCCCAGCCTCAGCAGCACTTAACCCTGCCCACATAGACAGAGGTACACTTATCTGCACTTTTTTGATGAAAAATCTAGGTTGTTTTCTAAGGCTTATATTATATTATATTATTTTGGTGAGTGTATGTGATGTGTTGGTTGTCTGTTTGTTTGTTTGTACGGACATACTGCAAATCAATTTCCCGTTAGGGACAATAAAGTTACCATTGACCATTGTAATAAGATATCTGCACAGGAATATAGAGAATACATAAAGGGTTTCTGGTTTCCACTTGTAGTCCGGTTTGAGTATGCATGAAAAAGTGAGGTCCTGTTTGCCGAAATAAAACCTGAAAACCTGCAGCTACAATCTAACAACAACTTAGGCTTTTATAAGCTTTTCTAAATATGTCTGCATTAGAAAAGGGCTGCAAGTCTCATCCAGAATATCAACAGACGACACCGGCGGCTCTGCACCAGCAAATCCTACAGCAGCAGACTCGCTGATGGTGTCGACAGAGGAGGATTTAGACATGCGTGTATTGGTCCAAACATGAGAACATGAGAGTGACGTCTCCACAGAACATATGCACATTTTACACGGTTCTCTTAGCTTTAAGACGATGTCTGTGGGGACTGTCTCACTCAGGAGGACAGCAGAGGAACTCCATATTTAAACAGAGGAGATCAAACTCTGTACTGGACGTAGTTCTTGTTAGACCTGGGTGAGATGGACAAAACTGTGACATGTTTTTCATACCAGTCGAATCACTATTTCTGTGCAGCTTAAAGACGACCTCTACTCCAAAGTGAAGATAAAATGTTAATTTTGATTTATATATTAATTATTTTGTGTCACACATTGAACATGACTAATGTGCTGTAGAATATTATACAAGTGTACTTTGAGTGCATACTGCTAGTGTATGTGAGCATATAATAAAGTAAAATCTTAATTTTGACCGGTAAGAACGTTGAAGTCAACCCGAGGATAAAACCATGGTGAACGTGAGACAATCCACTTCTTAACAGAGGAAACAGTTTAACTTTGTTCGGAGGTGCTTCTCTTATTTGGATCAGTAAGTGGTTATGCTTCTGTAACGTACTTGACCCGTTTGTTTTATTTAATCTTTGTTTCAGATGTCCTGCTGGAGCGTCAGGCTCACCTTCCCACCACACACAAGTTCAGCAGAGAACCATGTAAGTCGCTCAGTCCTCCACATAAACACAAAAGATTAGAACGTCTTGATGCACGCTCAATCCTCCAGGGAAGTAAATCCCAAAGTTTCTGTTCATCTGGTCGTAGCGTTTTGTGGGAGAAACATTTCGTCACCATCCAGGTGACGTCTTCAGTCTCAGCTGACTGCAGGTTTCAACCTTATAAACAGGGCATTTGCATAATGACTGAAACCAGCCCAGTGAAGGAACAATGTGCTGGGAGGTCAGTTCCTTCATCTTAATTATGCAAATTCTCATGACCATTGATCAAAAGTGTTTGATGAAACGTTTCTCCCTCTGAAAACGCTACGAGCAGATGAACAGAATCAAACTTTGGGGACAAAAGTTTAGAGTTTAAAAGTTGTTTTTTTTGTCTAATGAGAACAAGTAGCACAGATAAAGACTGTCGGCTGCTCAATCCACACTTGTCATGGGAACAGATTGAACATGGAAAGGATATCAAATGTTTTAATTGAGAAAATTTGATGGAAGCGACGCCTCTGAAGAGAACAGGGTGATGTTTCCTCTGTGTCTTAAACATCTCAGAGCCGAGGAGACCAGCAGCTGGACTCTTGGGAGAGGAAGCTTGTCCCGTTTTTAGGTTAAAGCTGCTCAGCAGTCCTGGCTCTTCTTTGGTGTCGCCATGCTCCGAATGTTTTCAGCTGTGCTGTTGGAATCGATGCTTTATGTGATTTTAGCATCGTTGTGCTGAAACATGAGGAAGATGTAGAAGTCAGAGATGCAGGCTTTTAAACTGAGCGCTGATATTGAGCCACAGGGTCTCCCTTCTCTTTATTCCGGAAGAACGTTTTCCAAAAGTAATGAAAACATGTGTCTGACATGGGAACAGTTTTCTGTGAGTTTTGGTTCAGAGAAGACGACGTTGTTTCTGACCGTGTTTGGATGTGGCGACGTGTTTGCATGATGGAGCTTTAACCTGCTGCCTGAGGGCCTGAAGATCACGAGCATCAGCCTCGATCCGCACGCAGATACTTCTCCAAATAATCTATAATAATAATTTATGATTTTATTTTATTGTAGATGATGAGACATTTAATGTCTTCACAATTTCACAACATTATTGTGAAATTGTTCAATTTGTCGACACAGTTCTTTGCAGATTGCTGAACCTCTTTAATTCTGAGAACGTCTGCCTCTCTTTACACCGACCTGCTGCTAATTAACCAAGCGAGGAGCAACACGTTCCTCCAGCTGGTTCTTTCTTACCGTCACTCACTTCTCCAGCGTTTTGTCTGAAACATTTAATGAAACGCTAAAATGTCTCAGGTGAAATATTTAACCTGTTTTCTGCTTTATTGTGAATAAAATTCATAAGATTTGCAAATCATTGCACAGCATCCAAACTTTTGTGGAACTGAGGTTTTTCTTCAGCTCAGAGGAATTTTAGACGCCGTCTTAAATTGACAAATTGTGCTTCTGAGCAGACATTTAACGTAGCTTCCTGTCCTCTCTTCGTGCTTGGGGTTACAATACAAAGGCATATTATCAGTGTGCAGCTGCTCCCTTCTTCTTTCTAAGCATGAAAGTTTCCTAATCCAGTCCCACAGCAGTTAGAAACACTCGGTGTGTCCTCTCCTCTCAGTGTACAGGGTGATAAAGAACCAGCCTCCACCCATCCTCTCCATTGAGCTGGACCACAACCCCTTCAAGTGCCCTGCTCCCGGGTGCACCAAGTCATTCAGGAAGGCGAGCCTGCTGCACTACCACATCAAGTACTACCACTCCGACCAGCAGCTGGAGGAGCAAAGCAGCGCGGAGGAGGCCGTGAGGTCGGTTTGTGTCCCACGGATTAGATACGGTGAGCAGAGG